CGACTTTAACGCTTAATAACTCGGTTCGCGGGGCAGAGCGACGCTTATTTCTGCCAGATTCTTTCGTTTTAAGCAAAAACGCGTCGAATGAGCCTATGTTCATCGATTTTTGAGGTGAGCGGCTAAACTGTATAATTACCATTCATTGCTTTAAAAAGACAAATTTACTACTTTAAAAACACAAATTATTTTTTTATATTATTTTTGTATTTTTTAAAAGCAGTAAATTTGTTTTTAAAGTAGTGAATTTGTGTTTTAGAGCAGAGAATTTATTTCAAAATAGTGAATGTGTTTTAGAGCAGAGAATTTGTTTTAAAGTAGGCGAATAATTGTGACCGCAGCGCATGCTCACACCGCAGTATTTCGTGGCTGTGACAGATTTCCTAACCTAAATAGTCAACTTTAACGCTTAATATCTCGGTTCGTGAGGCAGAGCGATATTTTTTTCTGCCAGATTCGTTCATTTCGTTCAAAAACGCATCGATTGAGTATATTGTTATCAAAATTTGAGATGGAAGGGGGTCTTCTTAACATTTACCAAATTTACGAGTATCAACATAAATATTTCGATAATACATTATTAAATTAGTGATTTTTTATTATATAAATGCTGTATAAATAAGTACGTATACTTTTAATGGTATAATATCTTATATATTACCGAAAAATTACAATTTTTTCTCTGTAATTATCATCTCTATTAATAATCAAACTCGGATAATATTAAAATCACAGTTTTAAATAAAAATCGAGTATCGTCTTTAATAGTATCTCGTCGGTGCTGCTGATCACGCGTGCGACGCTATACTTCAAAAGTGTTGCGATATAAGAAATATGGTGGGATCTCTTCGGTAAATTATCATTAAAATATTTTTTTTCTACATAATTTATTTTCATAAATAATTAAATTAAATTTTCTAATTATTAACATATTATAATCTGTAATACAATAATGTAACTGACTAATTACAATATAATAATTACAATATGGACAATGACTTTCCACTGTCCATATTACCTTTGGATTTTTGGAATGCTATTATTGATGCGTTTTTCAAGGGTTTCTCCAGTAGATTCTTTCACTAAAAAATGATCAAATATGTGACTCGGCAAAGTAAAATTCTATATTATAAGTTTTACATTATTTTCATATTTATAAGTAATTAAATTAAATTTTTGTATTATTAACATATTATAGTCTACAATAATTTACAACAATTGCAATATAATATAGAATGTAAACAATAACTTTCCGTGTTACCTTTAAGTATGTAGTAATCATATTGTAATTACTGTCAATTACATTATTGCAGACTGTAATATGTCAATAATAGAAAATTTAATATTAAAAATATTATGACGGCTCAAATAATTAATAATTAATTCAATAAATAAAAGGGGCCAACAAGTTAAAGCAAGTTATTATTGTCAACATTTTAATGCAAACCATTATAAACAAATGTTTCGACCTTCTAGGAGGTCCTTTTCAATGTTAAAATCTAAATACATAATAAAAGTCAATTATAAATTAAAAGAGGCAACAATAATAACTTGCTTTGGTTCGTTGGCTCCTTTTATTTATTAAATAAAAAATTTAATTTAATTATACTCATGAAAATAAAAATTATATAAAACTTACAGTATAGAATTTTACTTTATCAAGTCATATATTTTATCTTCTTTTTGTTCTTCTTTTAGTGAATGAATCTGCTGGAAAAAAACCACTTTAAAAAACGCATCAATAATAGCACTTCAAATGGAAAGCTATTGTTCATATTGTAATTATCATATTGTAATTATTATCAATTATATTATTGCGGACCATATATGTTATAAAAAATTATATGTAATAAAAAATTTAATTAGTTATGAAAATAAAAATTATGTAAAAAAAATGTTTTAATGATAATTGACTTTTCGATTTTATGTAATTATGTAGAAAAAAAATGTTTTAACGAAGGTATGATCCAAACATATTTCTTATATCGCAACATTCCTGAAACACAGCGTCATGTATGCAATCGGCGCAAACGATTCGATTATCGAGATCGTCGCCTTAAGAATCGACCAGAAATGTGCAACTAATTTAGAGCATGGCACTGTACCTATAACATACTTACTTGTTGGAAAATTTGTAATTCTAACATTTTTCGTAAAAAGGGTTGCATGGAAGATGGCCTACTCTCAACAAATGCATTTTGATTAAACGTGATACGCTCACCCTGCTGTAAAGTTAATGCTTCTCTATAACCTGCGGTTAATTGCACTAATGCCCGCAGGAATGCCCTTGATACGCCATCTCCAAGAAGAGCCGATCTATTGCGTAACGCTTTCTTTAAATTCGTCACCTACAACACAGAAACTTTTTACTTTATTATTTAAGACATTTATTAATCCTTAAAGATATATTAGTGCGTCGTAGCACTATATCGCTTTACGCACTACATCTTGAGGTAAAGACTCCAAATCTTGAAATGGTGACTCAATTGTGTTACTATCAGCATCTAATATAACAACTTCTCCTAAATCACTCTTCGGTACTTTCTGCAAAAAATGTTATACAAATATTATATACTTATACAGTTAATATAGTAACGCTCATAAATATTTGACAGTAACATCTTTGCATTTTAGAAAAGTTAAATATCTCGATGAAAAAAGTCGTAGAGAAGATTTCGACTATGCATCTTAAAGCTAAAATTTTAAAAACGTAAAGGGCTTTAAAATCACGTTTGATTTTTTTGTTCCTAAATTACATAAAATCGAAAATTAATATTTTTGTTTTACTTTGAAGAGCTGCAGTTTGACAAAACATTTTAGGACAAAATTTAATATAAAAGTATTTTAAAGTAACCATTCTAAGCTTTAAAATACTTTTTGAAAAAAATTAGTACAATGATTTTTCGCAAAGATATCAAATTTTTTTATTGTATAAAATTTTATTGTATAAAAACACTACTTTTTCTATAATATTTTTTAACTTCGAAACTTATGAAAACAAAAGAGAAAAATATCATAATGTGCTTAATTCATATAAATTTCAACCATAAAAAATAAAGAGCATTCAGCCACGCGCAAGGTGTTTTTTGCGAATGTTACATATTTAAAATTCTTACGTTACATAAACAAATTATAGACTTTTATATTGAAGTCTCATTAGGACGAATAGAAGCAAAGATTTTTCGGCAACATACACAAGCAAGTAGATTGTAATTTTAACAAAAATTTAATGTTAATTTATTCTTTTAATCTTATGATTGCGAATTATTTTTATATTATATTGTATACTAAAGATGGCCTGATTAGGCCGAAACGTCTATAATTTGTTTATGTAACGTAAGAATTTTAAATATATGATATTCGCAAAAAACACTTGCGCGTGGCTGAATGCTCTTTATCTTTTATATTTGTAATTTGCGAGCCACTAGTGAATTTTACAAATTCGTATAAATTAAAAAAAAATTTTTTTTAAAAACTTTTTTGACTGTCAATTTTAAAATAAGTTTTACACAACAAAATTTTATACGGCAAAAAAATTTCATATCTTTGCGAAAAATCATCGTGCCAAGTTATTTCAAAAAGCGTTTTAAAGCATACAAAAATTACTTTAAAATACTTTTATATTAAATTTTGTCCAATAATGTTTCATTAAACAGCAGTTCAAAGTAAGACAAAAATATTGCAAACGATACCAATTTTTAATTTTATGTGATTTAGGATAAAATATAGAAAAAAATTCAAGCAAAGATTTAAGGAGATCCTCTTAAATCTTTTGTATTATCGATTCAACGCAATAATTTTTGTATAACAATTACTTTTCTTCTCTTTTAGAAATTTGGAAATCCTTTTCCAGGATTAAAGTATACGCATTGATACATGTCTGTGAGGTGGAGTTTATGCTGAGAACACAAAAAAAATTGTTTAAATCGAGATCTTCACTTTCGGATTCCAATATGGTGTAGAGCTGTCAATATCATAACATTTACTCGACATAAAAGCTTTGTAATTTGTACCTACGAAATTGAGAGACTGAATTCTGTAACACAATACGTGTGGATGTCGCAGGATAAGTAATGTCCGCCGGGCTAATTTTGGATATCGCTCTAATTTCGATTTTGAAGATTGATTCTTGTAGAGAATTTCATAGCGCATCTTTTTTGTGTTTAAACTAAATTTGTAACTTTTATGTTTTCAAGTTATGAACAGAGAAAAGAATAATTAGTAAAATGAAAAAATTTCAATGCATTTTTGTGTTCGATTCGGCATATCTCAGCCAAATATGAATATTTTTCTTTGAAACTTTCACAGAATAAACTTCTACATACAGTAGCACTCAAAAGTATTTTGTAAGTGATATTTTTATTAATATATCTGCAACGTACGTTGATCCGACACAAACATAAGTGACGTTGTTATAGGGAAAGATAACAATTGATTTGTGCTACTGAAATCGTACATTAAAAGATTAATTCTTTATTTATTGATAAATATCTATAATACGTGAAAAAATATTTTATTGGTTGAAAGAATAAAGCAAATACCATGTTCACAACAGAAAAAATATTAAAATAATTATAAAACAAATGTGTAAGAAGAGACTTAATATTTTATAGTGAAACCTTTTGATTTTATAATCACGGTGCGTAGATGGGGTATTGAGTCTACGAGCTTCTCTACAATATTTCGCAATCTTTGACCATTCTTGCATTACAGCGTGGAACTCTCGCCTATTCGAAAAATTTCGACGTGTGTCATCCTTTTCTAAAAATGTTTTAGAGTTAGAGTCCGAACTTTAAGCTAGGCCACTCCAAAATTTTAATTTTGTTTTGTTTTAAAAAGTCTTTTACAAGTTGAGAAGAAAGCTTTGGATCGTTGTCTTGTTGAAACATCCATCTTTTGGGCATTTTTTTTACCATGAAGCAGCATGAGTTCCTTCAAGATGTCTCAATAAGCAAGTCCGTTATTGTTTCTATAAGAATCAGGGAACCTATCTCATTTCTGGGAAAGTATCCCCAAACCATAACGCAAAATTCACCATGTTTTACTGTGAGTACTTAATACCAAACATCATTTTTTTTATTTTTAGGACAGCGGACATGTTAGGTATCATCAGAGGAAAAGAGATTGAACTTGCTCTCATCATTCTATACGACTTTAGTCTAATCGTTTTTTGTCCATGCCAAATGTTTTTTGCAAATGCAAGCTTAGTCTTTCAATTTTTACGCTAATTATTGGCTTAATTCTTAAATGGTGTCTTCCCATTTAAACCTATAGCTGCCAAGCGACGTTTTACAGTTGAAACATGTAGCTTGCAACCGAAATTTCCCTATAAATCATCCCTTATTTCCTTGGCTAATTTATGCGGATCAGCACTAGATCTTATTTAAATGATTTTGTCCATTCTTTCTGCTGTCTTGCGTTGACCACTACTTGGTTTGTTTACATTTTCAGTTAACCTCTTTTTTACACCAGAAACTTACAAGTTGCTGAGAGAGACTAAAACGCTTTGCAATTGCATAAACTGAGTTTCCTTGGAATACGGCGTGTAAAACGTACTCTTTCAATTCTATAGATAATCTGCATTTTGATATTATTGAACTTATATACAAATGTCTATATACATAAACACTTTAATTACATAATCGTATACTTGTTATTTGTACTAATTATTGGCAATACAAAATTCTTATGATCTATCATATTATAAATATTTGTTGAAAAATAAGGAACTATCTTTCAATATACAATTTCAGTAGCACAAATCAAATGTTACTCTTTCCTGTGACAACAACACCACCTATGTTTGTTTCAGATTAACATACACAAATATAATAGAAATGTCACAAAATACTTTTAAGGAGATGCTAAACCGATTACCCAACTTGATCAAGGTCGATAGTACAGACTTTTTAAATTCCAAATTCAATAATAGTGGTGACATCTTTGATTCAGTTTTTACATTATATTATATAATATATATCATTCTCTTATTCAAACGCATACATCTGTTCTTATCTAACATATGTCAGCACCATCTATCGCAAGACCGCGCAATTACTGCTACACGGAATTTCGGCTCTGTTGACAGTCCCAGTCTTCACAAAGCACCTGTATACACGTATTTTCTATTCGGTGGAAATATTTCTTTTCTAGACTTTCAATCTTAGTTCTACAAACTCGGTATCGTTCGTTTCAATAATGTGACCTCAGCTGCACGCTTATTTTCAAGATATGGACTCTAAAGCCTCGTCTACAATAGTCGCACAAGCTGTGTCGCATGTTGTATGAAATGTCGCATATAGTCGCATGATTGTCGTAGTCGCAAGAGCTCTTGTTGTACGGAGTTGAGCCAACTTCAACTTTCTGCGACTGCGACAGGCATGTTGCATGAGCTCAGCCAATCACAGCACAGCAAGTTGACGTTTAGAATTTGTCATCGAATTGCGTGCAAACAATTGTTATGACTATTGTAGACACTCATTTAGCGACACTCTTGCGGCATGCGACAAATTTTCCTGCGATGCTACTACTCGCGACATCCGACACAACCTGTGCGACTATTGTAGACGAGGCTTAAAACTCTTATATCAAGCAAATATATATATGAGGTGACAGCTATACGAACCAAAAGTAGAGTTGCCATCCGTCCTCTTTTCCCCGGACACCGTCCTCTTTTATGACGTCCGGGGGGATTTTCGAAAGGCGTCCGGGATAATCATGAGAGTCCGGGGTTTTATATAAAAAGGAAATATTTTTTGACTGGATGGCAAAAAAAACTTTGGCGCGTAAGTGTAGTGTTGACATCATAGACTTATAAGATAGACGGAGCGTTCATACGAGAGGAGCTGAAGACAACATTGAAGGACAGCTCTACTTCAGACATAGTTGTTTCCCTCTTTCACAGCGAGCGGTGGGGGACCAATTAGCTTGAGCGTAACTCTCAAACGTCTATCTTTATTGTTCTCGGCCACTTCCCGGTCTGCCGCGGCGACCAATCAATTCATTACTAGAAAAGAAGAGAACTATTCCGCGATTATTTTTTTCTCTTTCTATCGCGTCTTCAGCTTCTCTCGTACGAATGCTCCGTCTATCTTATAGGTCTATGGTTGACATTAAAGATTGGCAGCCCTGTAGGACGCAGGTTGAGAATAAAATTTATCCGCATATAGTGTAATGCCAGCTGCACACCAGCGCGATGTTCGACGCGCGCGACCTGTAAGATATTATACTGTAAACATGATAATAAAGAAGTGATAGTATTGTGCAATTTGTAAGGAAAAAGCAACTAAATATATGTACTTATAACGTTTTCGGCTCGGCTGGGTTTGCACCAACCTGGGTTAGATTAATGGCGTTTTGTGCTCTCCTATTGGTAGAGCGTATGACGCCAACCCATAGGAAAGATTAATCCAACCAAGATTGGTGCAAACCCGATCGGGCCGAAAACGCTATTAAGAAGATAGGTCAAATATTTTTTGATAACGTATTATCAATTACAGAAAATCCCCCGTTAATGGAAATATTATTTATCTAAAAATTTAAAA